CGAGGCAGTTCTCTCCCTCCATCCAGTACTGCCTCCCACTCTTCAGTTGGGGGGGGGGGAGTCACCGCCAAAGTCCACTGTGCTCACGGTCTACTGGTCGGCTGTCTGCGGTTGATAGGTAGATCGCGATCAATGTCTTGGCAACCCCGTCCTAGAGAATGTAGTACTGACATTGAGAGAAGAGACACAACACCGGGGTGCAGAGTGCTTAGTGATGTGGACTCTGATGATGATCACAAGAATGGTGAGCAAAAATCCCAGGACCACACGGGGGGACCTAGTGAATGACCTGCAGAGAGCTGGGACCAACGTAACAAAGGCTACCATCAGTAACACACTACGCCGCCAGGGACTCAGATCCTGCAGTGCCAGACGTGTCCCCCTGCTTAAGCCAGTACATGTCTGGGCCCGTCTGAAGTTTGCTAGAGAGCATTTGGATGATCCAGAAGAGGAATGGGAGAATGTCATATGGTCAGATGAAACCAAAATAGAACTGTTTGGTAGAAACACAACTCGTCGTGTTTAGAGGAGAGAGAATGCTGAGTTGCATCCAAAGAACACCATACCTACTGTGAAGCATGGGGGTGGCAACATCATGCTTTGGGGCTTTTCTCCGCAAAGGGACCAGGACGACTGGTCCATGTACAGGACAGAATGAATGGAGCCATGTATCGTGAGATTTTGAGTGCAAACCTCCTTCCATCAGCAAGGGCATTGAAGATGAAACGTGGCTGGGTCTTCCAACATGACAATGATCCCAAACATTCCGCCCGGGCAATGAAGGAGTGGCTTTGTAAGAAGCATTTCAAGGTCCTGGAGTGGCCTAGCCAGTCTCCAGATCTCAACCCCATAGAAAACCTTTGGAGGTAGTTGAAAGTCCGTGTTGCCCAGCGACAGCCCCAAAACATCACTGCTCTAGAGGAGATCTGCATGGAGGAATGGGCCAACATACCAGCAACAGTGTGTGCCAACCTTGTGAAGACTTACAGGAAACGTTTGACCTCTGTCATTGCCAACAAAGAATATATAACAAAGTATTGACATGAACTTTTGATATTGACCAAATACTTATTTTCCACCATAATTTGCAAATAAATTCTTTCCAAATCAGCCAATGTGATTGTCTGGATTTTTTTTCTCATTTTGTCTCTCATAGTTGAGGTCTACCTATGATGCCAATTACAGGCCTCTCTCATCTTTTTAAGTGGGAGAACTTGCACAATTGGTGGCTGACTAAATACTTTTTTGCGTATATATACAGCATCTCCCAGAAGTGAGTCCCCCCCTCCCCCGCACTGCATACAATGTATATATATATACAGTATCCCCCAGAAGTGAGTCCCCCCTCACATTTGTGTCAATATTTGATTCTCTCTTTTCATGTGACAACACTGAAGAAATGACAGTTTGCTACAATGTGACCTAGTCAGTGTACAGCTTGTATAACATGTAAATTTGCCGTCCCCTCAAAATAACTCAACACACCGCCGTTAATGTCTAAACCACTGGCAACAACAGTGACTCCACCCCCTAAGTGACAAGGTCCAAATTGGGCCCAATCAATGAGCCATTTCCCCTCTCCGGTGTCATGTGACTCGTGTTACAAGGTCTCAGGTGTGAACGGGGAGCAGGTGGGTTACATTTACTTTTTTGCCCCACTGTATGTGACTGAGTTTAAAAAACCTGAGCTCCCTTTACACAACCCCCTCCCTAAAATAATGCAATTAGTTCTGTTGTAAGAAGACACCGTGCTGATTTTGGTAGAGAAAAGGGCTGTTATTCTTTGTGTGTGGGTGAGAGTACGAGAGATGTCCCTGCGATTAACATCACCAGCAGTGTGAGAGAAATCGCTTCTCGGCCTTTTGGCTAAGATCAAGTGTAGTATCTGTTCTTATTAGTGTCCAGTAGGGGTTCTCCACCATCATTCCTGCTTGCGGGGATGATTGGTTGTATAGTACTCCTGCTGGAAGGATGGGGGTCCTGATGGTTAGTACAGGCTGGAACAGAAATCGAGGCGCCCACAGGCTGTTGGGGCCCAGGGGTAATTCCCCCTGAAAAACTAGAGGGGCCCAGTTCCTCCTGGTTTGAACGGATCTACCTTGTCTGGCCAGGGGCCGGGGAGGCAGAAAGTCCACGGAACTGTGCCCCCTGAGAGTGGTCGCCTCAGGGGTGCTCCTAGTAACACATGGGGGTGGGGTCCCAAGTGTGAAACGTGCACATGGTCACAGTTCTAAACACTTTTCCTGCACTGCGCCTTTTAGGGCTAGACCTTTTGGCTAAGTCCAGGGCAATTTTTATGCTACGGGCCTCAGGGCCTAGCCAGTGCACAATTGCACGGCCACTTTTTTTATTTTTGCTTATTTATTTAATCTATTTTTCTCCCACTGTTTGTCACTTTTTCACTTATTTGTGTGTTTTTTTACTCACGGATTGTAGGGTGTGGGTCCTCGGGCCTAAACCTGAATTCTAGGGGGAGGATGTGTGGCCTTTTGGTTCCTTCCTCCCCTGTCCCTAGGGTGTCTTCTCTTCGGGAGAGCCCCCTTACCAAGTACTTGGTGGCTGGTTTAGGCTAGCCACAAGGAAAGGGGTCCGCCAGGCCTTTTGGCTAGGTGGACCACATGGAAACCTTAGTCCCTGGCAGGAGTTTCGTGCTCCGGGGGATCAGGGTAGAGGTCCTACCCCTTCGGGGGGTGGACAAAGCACACCCCTAAGTGCACTTTTTCGTGTTGGTTTTGCACTAGCACGTTTTTTGTCCACTTACGGGTTTTCGTTTTTCGCACTTCCGCGGACTTCAAAAAAAAGCAGTGTGAGAGAAAGCAGAGTCTCCTGCGATGAACCAACGAACTAGCAGTCGAGACACAGACCTTGTGCAAGTGTGTGTTTTGGCAATTACTTACCTGCATAAACTTCTTTCTGTTATCTGTTGGCTATGCTGTTGTGCTCTGTATATTTATATATATATATATATATATATATATATATATATTTGGTTACATCTTTTTCTGTAAATATTGTTATTGCACCTTTTTGACCTTTTAGTAATAAATCTTTCCTTTTGAAAGTGTTGAACTGTTTCTATAGCTCGTTAATGCAATTTACGAATTCCTGCCTCTAAAAGAGCGCTACTGTGTTTGTTTAACCCTCTGTATAACCGGTCTGCAGTGGCAGTGTTATACAGAGGATTATGTCAACCATTATAGTGTTATTGCTGAGATTGCCGAGTTTCCTCTTTCTCTGTACAAAAAGGAGGTGGTGGCAGTGTGAAGGGTTAATTGCGTAATTAACCTGACCCAGTAACAATCGCTCCCAGGCTGCCGGTACATCGATTGTGGTCCAATTAGCTGGAAAATTGTTGTGCACGATGTAGCTGGGCGTGGTATTGTTACGCACGTGACATCGCGGTTTTAGATTGTCACAGTAGGATTATAACTTTTTTTTTTTTATTTAATAGTTGAACTAGATGGACTTTTGTCTTTTTTCAGCCAGACTATGTAAATGCTTAGGGGATGCCTCAAAACTATACGTGTTTCACAGAACATTTCAATTCTCAGAGAACAGCATCAGTGACAACATATTGTGGCATTAAATACAATTGCATACGTTGTCATTTTGTTGCCTTTTCTCATTGGCTGTAAAACAGCAGCGGCCACCCAATATGGCTGATTTTCATTCCAAACAAAAGTCTTCATTGGGTAGTTTTTTTTTTTGTTTTTTTTCAGCAATATTTTGTTGTAGTGTCATACCATAAGTGGGCACTGGAATTAGAAGATGTAACAATCATGCACACAGAGGGGGAGGGTTCTCCATTTTGCTCCAAACTTCAGCATTTTGGTATTTCTCTTGAGGTGATTGTAGCCGTATTAGTGCACTTGTGACAGAAACAATTGAGTACTGTCCGGGATACTTTTTTTATTTGCACTAACATACAATTTTGAGGACAAGCTTTCGGGGTATGTCCCCTTCTTCAAGGTCCAAGCAGTACTATTACAGTACTATTACAGTACTATTTCTGCTGAAACATTGTAATAGTACTGCTTGGACCTTGAAGAAGGGGACATACCCCGAAAGCTTGTCCTCAAAAAGGTATTTCTCTTAAATTCCAAATCAGTCTCCCTCCGCCGATTTCCCCCCCTCCCTCAGGAATGCGTTCAGTGTACCTTGCTAGTCCCTGCCTTTATACAATCCTTTTACCAAATAAGGCAATTGGGTTCTGTTGTAAGAGACACCCCGTTGATTTTGAGTAGAAAAGAGGCTGTTATGTTTTGTGTGTAGACAGAGAAGTGAGGACCCTCTGCGTTTTAACATCTAGCAGACAAAGAGCAAAGGAGAATCTCGCTGTAACAACGAAACTGAGTGCAAGACCAGAAATCACTTTTTAGCTCATCAGACTTGAAACTGCTTAACCCCAGGCATCTGTTTGGCAAGTACTTATTTACCTAAACTTCTTTCTGTTATCTGTGCTGTTGGGCTCTGTATATTTATATATATATATTGGTTACATCTTTTTTCTGTAAATATTTCTACTGCACCCTTTTGACATTATAGTAATAAATCTTACTTTCTGAAAGTGTTGAACTGTTTCCATAGCCCTTTAATGTGACTTACGAATCCCTGCCGCTGAAGAACGCTACTATGAGTGTTTAACCCTCTGTATAACCTGTCCATGGAGATAGCGGTATACTGACGATTAACCAATCATATTAGTGTATTGCTGAGTTTCCTTTTTCTCTATACAAAAAGAAGGTGGTGGCAGTGTGAAGGGTTAATTGCAGAATTAACCTGACCGAGTAACAAACGCTCCCAGGCTGCATGTACCTCGACTGTGGTCCAATTAGCTGGAAAATAGTTGTGCAGCTGGGCGTGGCATTGTTATGCACATGACATTGCGGTTTCAGATTGGCTACTCCTTCGGTCACGAGTTTGGTGAGAAGGTCAGGGGTCTGATGCGCGATCGTCACAGAAGAGACAATACAGATACCAAATACTATACAAAAATAGTTCAGGCATCAGGCGACAGGCATCGGGCCCCCAGGCGGGGCGCGGGCGCCGGGCCCCCAGGCGGAGCAGCGGGCGCCGGGCCCCCAGGAGGGACGGCAGACACCGGGCCCCCAGGCGGAGCGGCGGGCACCGGGTCATCAGGCAAGGCAACGGGCATCGGGTCACCAGGCATCAGGTCATTTGGCTCGCCAGTGGGCACCGCGTCATCTGGCAAGGCAGTGGGCACCGAGTCACCAGGCACGACAGTGGGCTCTGAGTCAACTGGCATGACCGCGGGCACTGGGTCAGACATTGGATCGTCTGGCTGGACAGCGGGCATCGGGTCACCAGGCATCAGGTCATTTGGCTTGACAGTGGGCACCGTGTCATCTGGCAAGGCAGTGGGCACCGAGTCACCAGGCACGACAGTGGGCTCTGA